TAGACGATTTGACCAGACCACGAGACCACGCACTTTATGATTGTAGGAACGATTTCACAGTGACACATGATCTCACGAACACTCGCGAGAAGTGTCTAGAAGACTAGAGAAGAAAAACAAATAGAGGACAATAAACATTGTCAGCTTTCATGTCATGTTTGTGGATGCCAAGTTTCAGCTGACACTTGCTCGCTCTCATTGGCTGTCGCGGGTATCAAGTCAGAGGCAGCCCGATCAAGAGTCCGGGGACAAAAAATCTTTTGTGACAAGCAGCGAATCGGCCCCCTCTCGGGGTTTTGTACTCGCTACCAAAATTACATACTCTCGGAACAGATGTTTGAGGAGAAGCATGGAAAAGTGACAGAAACCATTCGCTTTTTTACAAGTCTGTATCCTATCAGAAGGATTTTGAAACTGAAATTTCAAGGTAAACCAATTACATACAGTTGCTTTAATGGCACAACCAAGATTTACTTTACAGTACACTAAATAAATAGGTCTTAATATATTTACTTACTTACTAAAGTGTTACATAGTGTTACTTACATAGCTACTAAAGCACATGTAAAGTACCTGATTATAATTTAAAGTGTAGTGTTATTTGATAAAACTTTTTATGTTACTACATTTTTTTTTTAAGTCTAAATTGCAACTTAATTGCAAATGTATATTTACAAATATATTTAATACATGGTACAAGTTTCAATACAAATGGCATTAAAATACATTTCAGCTTACCACAAACATTGTCATTTCATTCGGCATACACTTTAACCATATTTCAAAGACAATACAAGTCATTATGAAATGACATATAAATATGTCCTACTTAAGTGGGTCTAAAGTTCACCTAATTGCATTCAGAATAAATTTAAATCAAGGGTAGCCAACCCTGGTCCTGGACATCTACCTTCTGCTTCCTGCAGACTTTTCCAGCCTTGTTTCAATCCACCTGCCTGTAATTTTCAAGTGACCCTGAAAATCTTGATTAGCGGGTTTAGGTGTGTTTGATTGGGGTTGTAGCTGAACTCTGCAGGACGTAGCTCTCGAGCAGGGTTGGCTTCCCTTGATTTAAACTACAGTATAACACATTTTAATTAAATTGCAGTTAAGTGTACGAAAACGTTACATTCAGTTGGCACTTCAGTATATTCTTTTAAAGGGGTCATATGATGTTGCTAAAAATAACATTATTTTGTGTATTTGGTGTAATGAAATGTGTTTATGCGGTTTAAGGTTCAAAAAACACATTATTTTCCACATACTGTTCATTTCTGAAACGCGTTGATTTTTACAAAGCTCATCGGTCTGAAAAGTGAGGTGTGCTCTGATTGGCCAGCTATCCAGTGCGTTGTGATTGGCCGAATACCTCAAGCGTGTGACGGAAATGATACGCCCCTACCATACTGTGATGCCTTGTCCCAGCCGGAGCGACGAGACAAAAACATTAAAACCCATTATAAACGAGGCATTTGTTGCATCCAGTGGGGACATAATTACGGATTATAATGACCTATACTGTCTTTTTACACGTTGCGTTACATCAAGCTGCGCCGCGTAAACATAAAACCATGTCTGCATTTGTGATCGGAGAAATGACAAACAACAAGC